TTTTGGTAAACATATCTCTTTGTAAAAAGTAACAAAAAAATCATTCAATAATTATTCTTTCTACTATTGCAGTTGCTACGGGAAGAAGTTTCATAGAAGGTATTTTAGTTTTCTTTATCTCAACAAATTTTATATAAAATTTATTTAGGTTCTTTAAATCCCATAATATCTTATCACATTCAACCTCAATAATAAAATTATCCAATAATAATTAAAAAATCATCAATTTTGCTTCTAAAAATTCTAGATGATACAATTATGCAAATAAATGTTACCTCCTTTTATTAAAAGAGAAAAATCGAATAGAGAAAAGAAAAAAAAAAGCAAGATATCATTAATTTATTTGGCGATAATAAATATTATTTTATTAGAACAAATACTTAGTGGTGTATTCGTAATTTTAGTGATAATTAATATTATTTATTGTAGTTTTTTTTTGTAGATTAATTGACCTGCCTTGCCTAAAGCTGCATCGACCCCAGCGAATATATAATTCTAATCTTATACCAATGGCTCACAATCAATTCTTAAATTCAAAGGGCTAAGATTTAGGGGGTGTATTCAATCTAAATTTTATAGAATTTTGTTGGATTTTCAAAATTCGGTGTATTTAATTAAGATTTTTAAAAAAGTCTTTTAAAAATTTGGAGGCATTCAATTTAGAAAAATCTTTTAAAATGTGGAAGTATTCAATAATATATTTATTATAATAAAAAATATATGCAATATGATATTTTATAGAAAATAAAATTTTTGACTATACAAGTAAATAAAAAAATACTTTTATTTATTTATAATTAGCATAAATGATATAAAAAATATCAAGTTTTAAATGTAGATATAAATATTTTTTTTTAAAAAAAAAGTAAAAATAAAGGAAATTTGGATGGAATTGATATATAATGTTATATATTATATAGTTAATTAAAATAATTTATATTTAATATAGTAAATTTTTATAAATAAAAATGTATCCATTATTATAAAATACACAAAAATAAAAATAATGTTAATATTAGGGCAGGAGGGAGGGAGGATCTTCGTAGTATTCAGAGCCTTGCCATGTGTACAGCTCCGCATTGATTTGGTCAGGTCACTAGTTATCACATTGGAACTTTCACTCTGATAAATTTATAAACATCAACACATTTCTGCTCTGCTAAAAATAGTATGATATCTATCATACACCTGTTATTTCTTGCCTCCGAAGGAATTATTTACAGTACAGGGGTGTGTTTGTTTGGGAGTTTGGATTTTGAGTTGGGATTTGAATAATAAAAATTTTGAATTTGAATAGTTGTATGATGTGATATAAATATGTGTTGATGTGATGTTTTGAATGTAAAATTGATTTTTAGTATATTATAAAAAATGAAAAATAGGTGTTTGATTTGATATTTTTTGGGGAAAAATTTTGAATGAATAGTAGGATTTTAGTAAAATTCTTCAAACAAACAAACCCGTATATATATGGTAAGATGCAATTACTATATATATATAATGCTGAATTGCACAAAATTCATATGTAGTTTTATAAAATTATGTAAAATCTTTTATATTTTTGAAATTGTGTCAAATTTTCTTGTGGATTTATAAATTCTGCGTCAAACTCCCTCAGTTATCCTTATTTATTGGTTTTTTACTTATACGTGCTCAAATTGCGAATGAATTTCAGAATATTTATTTCTAAATTCCTAAAATTATACTCCCTCTCTCCCAAACATCGTGCAACATTTTCTTTTTGGTATGTCTCAAACACCCTGCAATATTTCCAAAATAGGAAATAATTAATTATACTTAATCTCTATCCCACACTTTATCCCATCACATCACTCAAATAAAAAAATAAAATATACATTTCTCTCTCCATCACATTACCTAATTTTTAAATTATCCTACTTAATACTACCCACCTAAAAACCCGTGCCCAAAACAAATGTTGCACCTTGTTTGGGACGGAGGAAGTAAATATTTTCATTTATCTTATATTTAACCTTAAATAACAGTAAAAAAAACTTTTTAAAATCATATAACAAATTATTTTTAAGTATATTTACTGTTTCTTGAAATTAAATAATGAATAATGACTATATTTGTAATTTTAAGGATTTCAAAATGAATATTCTAAAACTTATTCTTATTTAGGGCGCGTGCAGATCAAACAACGTTAAATAAGAAGGATCGAAAGGTTAGACGCAGAATTTATGAAACCACGAGAGAATTTAGCGAAATTTTAAAAGTATATGAGATTTCGTATAATTTTATGGAACTACACATTGATTTTATACAATTTAGCCTGTGTAATATGAACATATCACATAGTATAAACAACACGCTGATATTTTTTCAATCACATAAATATATATATAGATATATAAATCCATATTCAAATTTTCTAAATATAACAACTACTTTCTCCCTCCGTTTCATATAATTTTTTCCTATTTTTTATTTTCATCTGTCCCACATAATAAATTAATTATACACTTTAATTATATTTTAAAATTTAAAATTTAAATATTTTTAATTTTAATTAAATTATTTAGTTATCTTAATCTTAATCTATAATTATTTTTATTAAATAATTATTATTTTTACTAATATATTTCTTAATTACTTACTAATTATATTTTATCTAAATTCCTGTGTTTACAATAATACATCCATATTACATATGAGACGGAGGGAGTATTATTTTGTTCGGGCAAATCTACTACAAATTTTTTATATATTATTCAATCCTATGGATTTCTGACAAATGCAGGCATAAAATGTTAGACAGTCAACAGGCTATTACAGTATTATATTGATTAGTTATAATTAGTATATAAAAGAAGGATAGATAATACTTTATGGGTGTGTTTGTTCGAGGGATTGGATTTTTTTTACTATTCATTCCATTTTTTTCTCCAAAAATTATTAAATTAAACACTTATTTTTTATTTTTATATTATACTAAAAATCAATTTTACATTCAAAACATCACATCAATACCTATTTATATCACATCATACAACTATTCAAATTCAAAATTTTTACTATTCAAATTCCAACTCAAAATCCAAACATTCAAACAAACACACCCTATGTTAATTTAATTAACATCATATATTGTGTTAGTTTAAAACATGCACCGATAGTCATACACTAAAACTATGTTGTATTAATATATCTATATTAAGATCAATATTAGTATGTTTTATGCTCCCTCTGTTCCATAACTAAATATCAATTTGTTTTTTGCACGTAATTTTAAAAATATTAGTATTATATTTGGATGGAGTAGGAATAAAGTAGAAATGACTAAAATAACCTTATTAGTATGTGTGATATAAAAGTAATGATATTTGTGTAATATATTGTAAGTCGTAAATATATTTATAATGTTAGGTAGATAATGCAGTTACTAAAAAAGAAAAGGGATACTTTATTATGGGACGGACTAAAATAAAATAAATAGATATGGAGGAGTATAACTTTTTTATATATTGTTAGCTAATTTGCTTCAATTGTATTAGATTACTATAGATCAATATATTGTTAGCTAATGACATGACATATGTATTATCATTATTGTATGTATTGTCCATACTTAGTACTTCTTTGTGTTCAAAAAAATTATGTAATTTTGATTGAATGCAAATACTAAGAAATAATCAAATAAAAAGTAAATTAAGAATACGCTAGAAAATTTATTAATAAATTAATAAAAAAATATGAAAATAAAAAATAGTAATAAAATTATTATTACTTATTAATTACAAATAATAAACTATTTTATTACAAATAGACCATGCATACAAAAAAATTATCGAGATTATTTTAGTAAATAGAGAATATATATAGATTCCATCCATAAAAATATGCTTATTTATTTATTTATTTTAAGTAAAATATTATAGTACTTCTGTCTCACAACTAAATATTCATTTACTTTTAACGCCTATGAAATTGAATATTAATATTATTTCATACCTAAGTATAATTTAAGAAAATTAATACTTACATAAATATTGTATAATATAAATACAATGATATTTATATAAAATATTCTACAAATATATAAAATATTTTTAACATTAAATACAATAAACTAAAAAAAAAAAAAAATATTTTGTTACACAACAAAGAAAATATTACAGCATATTTTATACTTTAAAGAAAAAAAAAAATTCAATCAAAACTCAAATACATTAAAATCCAATATTTTGTGTTTGTTTGAGGATTGGATGTTAAATATACTATTCATCCTATTTTTTTCCAAAAAAATATCAAATCAAACACCTATTTATTATTTTTTATATTATACTAAAAATCAATTTTACATTCAAAATATCATATTAACACATATTTATATCACATCGTACAACTATTTAAATTCAAAATTTTTACTATTATTAAAATCAACTCAAAATCCAAATCCTCAGAAAAAGACACCCTCAAGTAGCCTCCTCCTGCTTTATATGGATAACTTTCCAATTCCATGCCATTGGAATTTATTTCTTTATTCATTAAAGAATTTATCCAAATTTTACTATTTATTTAAATTTTTTATTTAAAAATATTAAATTAAATATCTATTTTTTATTTTTTATATTCCTTCAGTTCCGTTGGAAGGATGACATTTGTTTTTGTGCTTAAATTTTTTAATATTAATATTTGAATTATAGTAAAAGACAAAAATATTCGTATTAGTATAATATAATATAAAAGTAATGATATTTGTGTAATATATTGTAAAATAAAAGAATATTTATTATGTTAAATAGATAATATAATTAAAATAATAATATTATTTTAAAACGAACAAAAAAATAGAAAATAGTAACTATTCCTGAGGACGAATAAAGTATTATATTAAAAATTAATTATATATTTAAAATATTATATTACAGTGTGTTGACAAGCTGATTGCCACTCAGTCACAGCCACCATTAATTCATCACTGCTCACATCTGCAATTCCCAATTGCCAATTTCCCAAAACCAAATCCCTAATTTTCATCCATAATCGCCACCTTATATATTTCTGACGCAATTAACATGCATCATCATCATCATCTTCTTTTCTTCCCCAATCCCCCAATCCTTTCCCTATATATATCCACCCCCTCTGCTCCAGAAGCCCCCCCACCGCCATTATCAGCAACAATCGAATTGATCATACAGACAGCAATGGTGGAGATTCACGACGAACAGATCGATCCACCCAGCCCGAGCCCGAGCACTTCCACGGAGACAATGGAGGACCTCCCCGGCACCGACGACGACGACGACGAAGGAATCAGCTACGACGACTTGAAGCACCGGATGTGGAAAGACCGCCTTCTGATGAAGAAGATGAAGGCCCGCAAGGACTCGTCGGCCGGCACCTTCACCGACGCCATGGCTGCCAAGATGGAGCAGTCGCGGCGGAAGAAGATGTCCCGCGCTCAGGACGCCGTCCTCAAGTACATGGTCAAAATGATGGATGTCTGCGACGCCCAGGGCTTCGTCTACGGCATTGTCCCCCGCAAGGGCAAGCCCGTCACCGGCTCCTCCGACAGCCTCCGCGAGTGGTGGAAGGAGAAGGTCCGATTCGACCAGTCGGCGCCGGCGGCGATCTCTGAGTTCCTTCCCGCCGCCGCCGCGGCCGATGATGATCTAATAAACCTGGACCCGGAGTCGTACATGAATTTGCTCCAGGACCTCCAGGACACGACTTTAGGGTCTCTCCTCTCCGCCCTGATGCAGCACTGCGTGCCCCCGCAGCGGCGGTTTCCGTTGGAGAGAGGGCTGGCTCCGCCGTGGTGGCCGAAGGGGGACGAGCTGTGGTGGGGGAATCAGGGGGCGGCGCACGAGCAGGGTCCCCCGCCGTACCGGAAGCCCCACGATTTGAAGAAGGCGTGGAAGGTCAGCGTTCTGGCTGCAATAATCAAACACATGTCGCCCAATCTGGATCGGATGAGGAGACTGGTGAACCAGTCGAAGTCATTACAGGACAAGATGACGGCGAAGGACACCGTCACGTTGTCCAAAGTGGTAGGCCAGGAAGAAGCCCTGATGAAGCAGGCGCAGAAGTCTCTGAAAATATCGGATGAGGGGTCGTCGGACAAGGACAAAATCGGGGGGAGGACGACGGGTAATGAGAAGAGGAAATGCTCGCCCGACGTGGCGGATTCGGGTTTGGGTCTGGATGCGGATCCGGATCCGGACATGGATCCCCTTTACTACGCATGTCAGAATTGGAAGTGCCCGCAGAGCGACGTCGAGTACGGATTTCCGGACAAGAATTCGAGGCTGGAGCACGAATCAGTGTGCGTTTACAGGGATGATCTGAATCTGAATCTGGATCTGGATCTGGATGAGAATGTGGCGAGCTTGAGGGAATGGATACAGCTGGCGCTGGAGAAGGGGGACGAGATGTCAGGGGTAGGGCTAGGAAGCTGCAGACAGTCTGATTATGGGTTTGATGGGGAGAAGAATGTTGACGACGATGTTTCAGCCATGGATAGATACTCGAATTACTGGGGGGTGAATTGTAATAATGATAACAACATGTTGCAGTATGGTTCGGACATGGATTTGAACGCGCGACCGTTGGAGGAGACCACCTTGCGTGAAGACAGCAATGCTGCTGCTGCTCATACTTCAATTTGGGACTTGGCTTATCAACATGTAGGGAAGTAAAATTATATATATATATATGTATGTATGGATTGTGTGTCGTGTAGTGATTTGAATTAATTAATATAAGTTAAATGAAAGAATGGAGATATACAACAGAGGCCAGCATTGTAATTACTAATACTAGTAGTAGTGTTTATGGCGGCGGGCGGGGAATAGGATTGATTTGGAAATCCCGATGGGTGGCTGCGCAGGAATAACCCTTTCGAAGTCGGAGTCCGGTGGCGGCGGCAGGTTTGGCGGGAAAATCATTTTGGATTTGGATTTGAATTTGGAGGGAGAAGAGAGCGCAGACAGGGCGGTGGTCGGAGAATCGGGATTCCCGGCGAATGTAGCATAGCTGTTGGATTCCGTCGCCTCGCCATAGTATTCTGTCGCACCTGCATCCATAATATATGTATATATATATATATATGATATGAGATGAGATGAGATGAGATGAGATGATTAAGTAGAGGTACGGACCAGGCTGGGGTCCTACGTTTCCTCTTGTTGCAATTGGCGCCTGCATAGGAATCGGAATTGTGTGTGTATTTGTAGGTTGGTGCGAACGTTATCTTCCCTTCTTTCCATCCTTGGAACACTCTCCCTGCCTCTCTCTCCCTTATCAGCTGCATATATATATATATATATATATAAATATAAAACAAATACTGTATAATAAATCTTAAATAAATACAATAGTCCGCGCAGTACATATTTACCATTAATCTCGTCTAGAGTTGTTAACATTTGCGAATAAGACTCATGTTCGTTCGTTAAGCTTTCGAGCTCGGTTCGTTAAGAATTTTTGTTGTTTGAACTCATGTTCGTATTCGGCTCATTTAGGTTCGATTAAGCCTGTTCGAGTTCGTTCGGCTCGTTTAGGCTCGATTAAGTTTGTTCGAGCTCGTTTGTTTTATTTTTATAAATTTATATATAAATTATAAAGAAAATTTAAAATTATTTTATTTATATATTTTAAATTAATATTTTATTTATTTATAAATTATAATTATATATATAATATTTATAATAAATATATTATTTTAAGGAACGTTCGCGAACATTCGAACAAAGCTCGGGCTCGTTCGTTAAACAAACGAGCCTGTTTATGTTGTTCGGCTCGTTAATGTTCGCGAATGAGCTTTAACCGAGTCGAAACGTGCCGAGTTCACGAACGACTCGATTCATTTAACAGCTCTAATCTCATCATACGAGATAGGTTCATCTAAAATTGTGTTATTTGTATATCTCCTACGTGATAATTAAATTGTTGATTAGCCCTAAGACTATGTTCTTTTAACAAAAAAAAACATACATATATATTTTCAAAAATATTAATATGTCACATATATTCATTATTTTTATATTTTCTACATAATTTCATATATCTCACATAAAAAAAAAAAAAATTATATATATATTCTTTCAAATTATCTTACAAAATAAACACACATCCTAAAGTACCATAACTGTTCTCTATACTTTCCATTGTTATTGTTAGTTACATTTGAATTTATTTTTATTTTTTCTTGTAAAAAATTATCAAAGTATGCTACATTGTCACATGTTCCAAGTTTGCTCAAGACAATAAAGAGTCTTCTTGAGTCAGTAGACTTTCTCCTTTTAGTTGGTAGACATAGCAGTTAACTTTAAAACTCCACTTAGAAAAAATTGATTTTACAGCTAACTGGTATATTTTTCATTCTTTTTGAGTTGATACATTCTAGTTGCATGCATTTTGGCTACCGGTACAAAGGTTTTAGAGAAATCAACTCCACAAACTTGCAGGTAACCCTTGACACTAATATCAGGGGTTACCTATTTTGAAATTATCCTTAAGAAAACATGTTTTAACTCTAGAGTTATTTCAAATGGGCTTCCGAAAAAAAAAAATGTGTACACATCTTCCTTAACTCATCTCCATCAACACTGACTTCTACTTAAAAATACAACATTCACGTTGTCCTCACTCACGCACACTCTGAGAGACCTTCCAGGACGCAACACATCTTGAAACCGCTATAGAAAAAGTAAGTTTAACTTTAGAATTCTCTCAAGTGAGCTCTCAAAAAAGAATGTACCCACGTTTTCCTTAACTCATCTCTATCAACGCTGGCTTCTACTTAAAAACACAACGTTCATGTTGTCCTCACTCACGCACACTCTGAGAGATCTTCCAGGACGCCACCTATCTTGAAAATACCATAGAGCAAGTAAGTTTAACTTTAGAATTTTCTAAAGTGAGCTCCCAAAAAAGAATGTGCACACATCTTCCTTAGCTCATCTCTACCAACATTGGCTTCTACTTAAAAATACAATGTTCACGTTGTACTCACTCAAGCACAATCTGGGAGATCTTTTACGACGCCACCCATCTTGAAATTACCCTAGACCAAATAAGTTTAACTCTAAAATTCTCTCCGGTGAATTCCCAAAAAGAGATGTGCACATTATTGACATGTGTAGTTTATTCAATTCATTTGAATTTTTTTTAGTACCGGAGGTATCACATCATTCCCAACTCATTTCTTTTAGTACCGGAGGTATCACATCATTCCCGAACCATCTCTATCAACACCAGGTGTATCACAATTATCCACCAACTCTTCAAGATTCAATGTGAATCTTTGGGAATTTTTATCAGCTCTTTTTATCTATTCCTACTTTTTATCCTCAAACAGCGACATCCATGCTAATATTCATTTTTCATGACTATGGATGGTGTATTCTATATCATGTTGATATTGAACTATAGATAACAAAAATTCCAGTTTCAAATCTTTCTTATCACTTCTCTTTTAATTTGAGACACATGAGAAGAACACAAACAATAAAAACCTACTCATCAAAATCAAAAGCCTTTCAATCTTTTGCACAACAATGTGATCAAATTATGCACTCTAATATATTTGATGGATATTTCAAATCAAGCTTGTCTATGGCATGATTGGCTCGACATGTCAACTTTGACTACTTAATAAACATAGAAAAAAAATAAGATGGCAATTGAAGTGCCACCAATCATACATCCAAACAAGCTTTGTCATGGATGTCTCGTTGCAAAGCAACCTCACTAGTCATCCTACCTTAGGAAAACTGTCAAATGAATGAGCCTTTTAGATTATTTTACACTAATCTTTGTGGGCTGATCACCATATCGACACTAGAAGATAATAATTACTTCATGCTCACTGTCGATAATTTCTCACGATTGATGTGGATATTTGTAATTAGATAAAATGATCAAGTATGTGCCATATTCAAGAAATTCAAGCAATAAGAAAGAATAAAAGAGTATGATATTGGTGGTGAATATCTCTCAATAGAATTCACTAAATCCTGTGAAAAAAAAAAAAAAAAGTAGACAATGGTAGAGAGTTGACTTCTATATAATGTGATTATTCTCAATATTGAAATGAATGCCAATTGAGAATATATGAATATTTTGGGAAATTTAACAAGCTATAAATTCAATTCTAACCACAGAATAGCAACATAAAAAATAAAAAAGTTCAAAGATAGGACAGTGTGTTGGAATGGTTTGGTAAAAGCTTGAGACTTGGTAAGATTAATTTAGCATGCCCCTCTTAATCTTAGAATCTTTTTTTGGTTAATACTGACAAAGTCTTAACTTTTTACCAACTCATTCCAGCATATTGCCATATCTTTCATATTTTTCAAATTTTCCTTTTTTCAGTTTTTGGTATTTTATAGTTATATTTGAGATTATCCTTTGTTACACTCCCTACAAATATGTATGTTACATTGTCGGTTATTTTAAGATTTTATAATAACATATTAAATAGCTTTCACTTTCCACTTATGTTTACTTTTTTTAGAAGAGAGAGAAACATCGTACTCATCTAGAATAATTATTATTTTATTCCTTATTATTTTATTTACTGTATAATTCTTAATTATGAGTTTTGGGTTAGGGCACAGGTCATGTTAAGATTAGACGGCTCTGTGGTTCTTTATTTTTATTGATTCGAATAAAGTTTTCTTTGCAACTAACCCTAAGTCCTAACACACTCCCTGTGAATATGTATGTTACATTATTAGTTATTTTAAGATTTTAAAATAACACATTGCATAGCTTCATTGGAGGCAGAACCTAACTACAAAGTATACTTTCTCTATATTAATAATATTTATTCTTTGACAAGTATGGATGATAATGGACACAATTCTTACACTGTTGATCTTGTGCATTAAGGATATTAGATATTGGTATATAAATTTTTACTTGTCCAATGCATAGATTAAATAGCAGTATACATATTTATTTCTCAAAGCTCTTTTATAATGAGTCCCCCATTTCTTTCCCAGTTTTCTTCAAAATAAACAAAACTTAAGATAAGATAATAAAAGATACTTAGACGATATAAGGTAGAAGGAACCTGATCTTTTGCGAGCAATGAGTCCCAATTATTGTCCTCTAACAAAACCTTTGTCTCTTCATAACTCATCGCCACTCTATAATTCAAGTCTCCCAGCCAAACAATACGTCTGCATCACACACACATGCAATAATTGATTAAACACTAGGACATTGATTCTTTATTCCTATCTATAATAATATAGATATTTATTACATACTCATGATCCAGGATTTTTTCGGGGATTCCATTATCATTCTCGCAAATCTTGGGAAAATGAGTGCCTTTCAAAATTTCTGCCACGTCGCAATTCCTACGCAGCTCGTCGCCTTCTTTCTCACCGGAGGCCAAGTGGCTACACACGAAGCAGAAGCTCGTTTTTTGCACTGTCATGCTTATTGCAATACATCCCTGAACATACATATATTAACTATATATTCAAATATTTTTAAGGCAAAAATGCTTATAACCTACCTATGTTTTGAAAAACTTTGCACCATAACCCATTATGATTTAAAAACTGCACAAGCCTTCCTGTGTTTTAAAAATATTTCACAAAATTCCTTAAAATTGTATGAAACTCTATCGTATTTTTGAAAATATTATACGAAATCTCCTAAAATGAGGAATTTTGGGCAATATTTTGAAAACATAAGAAAGTCATGCATTTTTTAAATAACAGAAATAATAATAATAGTTCTTTTCAAACTACAGATGAACTATAAGTATTTTAGCCTATTCTTAATGAATACAATATAAAGATAGATAAATGAAGATGCTTACCTTGTTGCCGAGGTACCCCAAGATTCCTCTTCCGATACAAGAAATCCTAAGATGCCCAATGCCCGTGATAAGCTCTCGCCGAGCCCATATACACAAAAATAGCCCCACCATTTGCTTGCTAGCAACCACCTGATAGTTGAGCCTTTGTGCCAAAGACAACACTTCATGATCTGTTGCCCCATGCCAATAATGAATTTTTCCATTGCTACTACAATTACATGCTTTTAAAAGATGGTTCTCGCCCCTCAAAGTCTTTCCCAATGCTTTTAGAGATGACGGGTTGTTGAGGATGGTTGATGAGGCCTCTTTGCCCTCGCCCTCGTTGTAGGGTTTGTTGAGGGTGTGGTGTATAAGGGCCATCCATTTGGATGCCGGCTCGTTGTCTTCCATCACTAATACATTTCCAGCATTCAGCGGCACCATCTCCTGAAACCTGACCCCGCCATCACTTGGCTAAACAATTGTAATAACTTCTATCAACTTATGAGGACAATGAATGAAAATATGAATGAAGAGCAATTTGGGTTCTAAAATCAAGTAATATTTTGTGTTTCTTGGAATTGTGATTGAATTTTTTGTTTTAAAGTAGCATGTGTTATAAATTTATATGAATAATACTTTCTTCATCCACTTGATAAGTATACATTTGTTATTTTTTGTTATCCAAGCACAAATATCCATTTTTTTTTAGTAAGTATGGATCTCACTACAGATTACAAATACTCTCACATTTGTACTTATTTATATCAGTATCCTCATATTAACTTTACACAATATGAGAGTAAAATAGTATTCATATATCAAACTTATCAGAAACTTGAGAATTAATGTACCGTTGAAAAAAATTTAAAGGGGCATAGAAGGTACTAAAAGAACTCAAATCTAAAATAAGGTTACCATATACTAGCATGCTAGGTCGATCCCAAAAAAAATATATACTCCCTCCGTTTTGTAAAATTATGTCATTTGATCATACATGGATTTTAGGAAAAATGGGTAAAAATAGAAAAAATTTCTTTTTATAGTAAATAAAGAGTAAAAAAAATACTCTTTCCATCCGCCACTAAAAGTCACATTTACATTTTGCGTCGTTGTACTTAACATTAAAAATATTCTTATATTTGTATATTTTTTTGTACAAATGTCATTGTATTAATATTATAAGACATCAATTGAAGTATTTTGCAATTTTTTCTTAATTTGTACTACTTTTTTATGATATAATTAATATTAAAATATCAACACGCAAAAAAAGTAAATGAGACTCTTAGAACTGGACGAAGATAGTAGTATTTTTTTACTAAAAATAAAAACGGAAATACTTTTTAGTGAAAAAAAAAAAGAGCTAAGTTTAGATAACAAATGGTTTATCACACTAAAAACAATAATTGTAAGGATTACAAAATAAGAATTTTCATATTGTATTTAAATTAACTTAAAGTAATATTATCAACTCAACAATAAAATAATAACCCTTTTGATCTAGTCATACACTTGAGTACAAAAATTAAACTCAAATTGTCAGCACAACCATATTTAATAAATATGCATACCTCTCCCCTAAAGGTTGAGCCATAATTAGTATATATTTGGCAATGGAATATTAAGTTGTTTGCTGAATAAATTAGTTGTCTAGATTGTAGCTTTTTATATCTTGATCTTAAATCAATAATATGTTCTAACTATAGTCTACTAGAAATGTTATCAGTCGCCTTATCATGTACATTAATATTTTCAACAACGATAATATTTTCAATAATAATAATCATCTTCATTTCAGAACACTATAATTTATAATTTTTCAATCCAAGCTAATATTCTAAGAAATTTGACTTTATAAACTTCATAGGTAATTTTTCATTATAAAAAATACCATATTCTTGATAATAGGAATCTTCTTTTCAATAGTGCACAGTCAATTTTAATATAGTAATGAGATAACAACGATTGGAAAATGTCACAACCTAAACTCATTTTTGTAAACTAGATTTAGACAATATATAGTGTACATTCTTCGTATTGGTTATTTTAATACTATTGGTTGCAATAAAATATTTTAGGGTAAACTGTGTTTTTTTAGTCCCGTAACTAGACCCTTTATCATTTTAGTCTCGTAGGTGGAGTCTGTCGCAAACTAGTCCCATAAGTGAAAATTTTTCGCTATTTTAGTCCTTCGGCGCCGGAGACGCCCGCATGGCTCGCCGACACCTGGTGAACATGTGGATTTTTTTTTTCATTTTTTTTAATTTGTTTTTAATTGGATCAAATAAAAAAAATAAAAAAATACAAATAAAATTAAAAATAAATTAAAAATAAGTTTTTAAAAAAAATTAAAAAATAAAAAATAAATAAAAAAAATCCACATGTCCGCCAAGTCAGCAACACCTGGCGGACACATCACCTCCAGCGAGCCACGCGGGCATCTCCGGCGCCGGAGGACTAAAACAGGAAATTTTTTTCACTTATAGGACTAGTTTGCGACAGACTCCACTTACGGGACTAAAATGATAAGGAGGTCCAGTTACGGAACTAAAAGAACAGTTTACCCAATATTTTATTATGCTGTGAGAATGGAACCGTAAAATATTTTAGAACACCATAAATCTTGTAAAACTGATTATCTTCACTGGAACAAAACTTCAAAATATGTATATATTAATCTTTTTAATATTTTTGAATATCTCTACCTTTTGAAACATAATCAGCAACTCCTTAAATATTAAAATTGTTCTTCTTCAAGAAGCATACCTAAACTCCTTCAAAAGTAATCAATTATGGTAGTGAAAAATGTAACATGACCTCCCAATGTTACATTATACAAAAAAATTATGCAAATATTAGAATATTTTTAATATTAAGTGCAAAGACGCAAACGGATGGAGTATTTATTTATTTATTTGTTTTGTCAATTGGTTCTTTTTTCTTAATTCAATCATACCGAGTTGACATGTAACATCATCAAATGATTCTTTTGATGCAAAAACAACCTTGATATCTTTTCACCTTTTAAGACATGTAAGTTTGAAGGACTCTTAACATTTTTATTAACACAAACACATCTTTAAAAACCTTGAAACTCTACCTTTAGTAGACTAATTTAATCCTCTTAAATCTAGAGTGGTTATAGGTATGAGACTTCTCTTCATATCTAGAATACGCTTGAACACCCGGACAATGTTCTAATAACAATGTCAAACAACTTAATTTGGATTAATTCAATGCCACTACGCATGCATAATATGTCATGTACACACTAAGTCAAGGATTCATCATGAACTTTGGAGTTTTCCATAAAGGCCATAAGAACATCTTCAAACTTGTCTAAAAAGTGGTAGCTTGACAAAAGTTATATTTTTTTTGCTCAATTTTCTCTTGTGTTTAACGATTATTTTTATTTATGTCTTGTAACTAATAGGATCCAAACTTAGTATGTCCCAACTTCTTGTAGTAGTAGCACATCTTTGCCTTTTGGACTGAGGTATACATACCTTTATAATAAAACCTGAACTTATATGTATTGGTTTGCCTAAGACAACTAAGTCATTTTCTTGTGAGTTTGAGGGGAAAAATAATTTGTTTTATTTTTTCAATCACAACACTTCATAAACCTCTTCAAGAGTCAGAGTGTCTTGGTTATACAAAATAGTTCATTTAAAAGTTTAACATGAAATAGTAATGAAAATAAAAGAATAGGCCCAAATCTTCTTCATTATATTTTACCTTCGTACTTTTCAAACCAAAAATAATTGTATGAACATCGTATGTTGGTCTGAGACTAATCCTTCCGAAAACTAGTAGAATAGATATAGATTTGTTTCTTCATATGCGACTAGCTTGTCACATCTTTGAGTCTGGATTGAGAGCATTGTTTCCAACTATAACGATATTGAGAGTTATACTTTCAACTCTAACGGTATTGAGAGTCCTACTTTTGCCTCTAACTACATTAAAAACTTTATTTTTTACTGTAACTCCAAATGAGAATCTTGCTTACAACTCTAACGTCGTTCTTGTTGTTGAATCTAACTACATTGAGAGTTTTACTCTCTAACTATATTGAGAATCTTGGTTTCAGCTCTAACTATCTTGAGAGTCTTGTTTTTTTAATTTAGTTGCGTTGAGAGCTCTACTTTCAGTTTTAATGGCATTGAGAGTTTTGTTTCTAACTTTTCTTGTGTTGAGAGTAATGCTTCCAACTCTAACTCAATTAGAGTCATGTTTCTGATTCTAACTCAATCGTTAGTCATATTTTCGACTTTAACTCCCTTGAAAGCCCTAAATCTAATTCTAAAACTTATGTTTTCGAATATAACTCCGTTTTAAGCTATGCTTCTAACTCTAAATCAATTGGCAATTGTGTCTAAATTATCTTCTATTTCTCTTGGCAAGCGCTTGAGGAAAAACATTGAGATATTCTTTTTAATTTAATATATATTGTTATGATTCTTTAGATTAGACCGTTATTTGGCTATATGCATATTAAATAGTTATTATTTGAATTTATACTTTTATATACATCTCAGATTTCATTATTAATACTTTACAATATTGCAGTTATGCAAAATGTAACATTAATCACAAAATAACACTAGGCAAAATTGTTGTGGTGAATATAAACTAAGATGATGATATATATAAAGTGTGAGATTACATTTATATTACCCGAGCACGTAGATGTCTGCAGAGCTCTCCACCTGTAAGAAATCCTCAATGTTAAGTCCATTGCTTGGACTGTTCCCTCCTAAATTCCACGTTCCCACAAAAACCCTAATTTCATTGCAATACAAATTTTAATTAGTTACAATGAATCAACAGAACAATTAAATCCTCAAATTTGAATTTTCTCCTACACACATACCTAATTTCTTTAGTAATGTTGTCGGGTGCCATTGAAGCATCAGAACTGGAGATGTTTAAGCTTTCAATCCCATGGCTGCATAGCCTTTCTGAAACATGATAAGAGAAGGTTCAAAATATACAATAAAAAATTTAATTTTACCAAAGGAAATTAGTTTGTAATCTTTCCTTAATTTAAATTTCAAAATAAATTAAATATCTTTACTTTTCTTGTTTTTCCTTAATTTAAATAAATGTGTATGGATTTGCTTTTTTGTTTGCACCAGTAAATAATTCACTCATGCGTGAGATAATCTACCAAAATAATTTGGCTTTGTTTACATAATAATTTTTGAGATTTTGACACTATTTTTTTATAAGAAAAAAAAAAATAAAACCTTAATTTAAATTTCAAAATAACTTAAATCTCTTTACTTTTATTGTTTTTCTTTTTTAAGATGAAATAAATGTGTCTGGAATTTTTTTTGTTTGTACATGTAACTAATTCAGTCTTGTGTGAGATAACCTACCAAAATAATTTGGCTTTGTTTACACAATAATTTTTGGAATTTCTGCACTTATTTTTTTAAATATATATCAGACAAAATATATTTTTTCTCTATAAAATATTATATCAAATAATATATTTTTATTATTTTCAAATTGCCAAGGGGATTGGATCATATGTTGATATGTATATAAATTCAGCATATGTTGAATTTAATCCCAACTATTAATTTAAAATCTAATTATCTTAATTAAATAAATAATTTAATGATTAAGGGTGGGGATTAAATTCAGTAATACTGAATTTGTTTATTTAGCACAGCATCCATTCTGATTTTCGAAACTCTTATCTAAACAAAGTAGAGCTTTGTTAATTATTTGACACGTGCACTAAAACTACTAATTATTTCCTCCCACGTATTCTACAATATTTTTTATTTTGATCTGTTTCACATACTAAAATAGAAAATAATTCATACATTTTATTACATCACACCACTCAAATAAAAAAAATATATATACAAATTTCTCTCTCATCATAACACTTATATTCACTTATTCTATCCACCTAAATTATCGTGCCAAAATCAAAATGTTTCTTCTTATATGGACGGAGGGAGTACCATTTGCCTCAACCATATAATTTGTTTCACAATATTCAAGAATACTATACACATGTTCAAACTCACTCCTTCAAATTTTATCTTGTCATTCGCTTAATATCATTTACTTTGCAGATTTTCACGTCATCAAACTATATATATATATATTCAAGAATAATACACTCATTGTAGATTTACAAAGACAAACTATAACTAGATAGAATCGATCGTAGTTCATATCACAAAATTGTAAAAAGAAAGTTAAATAAATCTTGCAAGTGGAATTAAGAGCATATTATATATATATACAGGTAAACTGATTTTTTAGACATGTAACTTTATATCTTTTATCATTTTAGTCCCGTAATTTGAGTCTGTCGTAAACTAGTCCTGTAAAAAATTTTCGCAATTGTCCTCTGGCGCCGGAGATACCTACGTAGCACCCGTGTGGTTCGCCGTAGGACACGTGTCTTCCAGGTGAGCGACACCGGCAAACATTAAATTTTTTTTTTTAATTTATAATTTACATTTTTTTTTTCAAAATTTTTAATTTTTACAAAAACATAAAATAAATTAATTAAAAGAATTATAAGAATAAATCAACATATCTGCCAGGTGTAATTGATTTCACAGGCGGGTGCCACATAGACATCTTCATCTTCGGCGCCGGAGGATTAAAAGTTGTTAAGAAGGGATCCGAACTTTCAACCTAAAACCAATTGGTGACAGGTGGAGTGAACCTTCACCCTTATAAACCAGGGGAGATCCCACATTTTTCCAATGTGGGATATATTCAACAAAAGTGCGAAAATTTTCCAGTACTAGTTTGCGACATGATACGAGATTAAAATGATAAAGAAGTCTAGTTATGGACTAAAAAAATCAGTTATCCCTATATATATATATATACACACACACAAGTATGGATATTAAATGCATGAATCACTCGGAAAATGCATGAATCACTGGGAAAAGTTTGTTTCGTTTAGTTTTATGTATATATCATTATAGGTGTCGAGTATCGAATGTTACCTGAGAACCCTCTTTTAATGAAGGCTGGTGATGGTTCCTTAAGGCTTGTTGTTGATGCATTACTCGAATCCAAATCTGTCACCAAAAACCAACAAATTAGACACAATATATGCATATTCTAATTGGAAAATGAAAACAATTTAACTGTATACATATAGATATATAAGAGCAGTACCATTTTGATGTTTTAGATTATCTGCATCAGCATCAGGTTGAAGAATGTCATCTGAGATCTCAGTGCTGTTTCTTTTGGAACTGAAGATCCGAGGAATGAAAGACGTCTTATACATGCATCATTCATTACAAAAATCAATTATTAATTTCTGAAAAATTAAAATAAAGAATGAATTAATTAATTATAAAAGCGTACACAATATATAGAAGTAAAGACACCTTCTTTTTCTTTTCTCCTTTGAGATCAGCCACGGCGGTGGGGCTGGTGGTGCCGCCGCTGCTGGTATTGTCGGCGGGGTTAGAGTTCGCCGGAGGAGATGACGACATTGGCACATCGATGATATAATATTTGTATTTTAATTAGTTAAAGATAAGAGTCTAGAGAAGGAAGGCATCGTATAATGCAGATGGGTCATCATGCATGTTTTGTAAATTGATATTCTACCCAGAACTACAAAAATAATTTGATCTGAGGTTGTTTGTTGGCTTGATAAATGTGATAATTGGCGTTATGATTGAAATGGATTTATTCATATCTATTTTTAGGTCATTTCTTAGGGATACATTTGGTGTGTTGAGGCATAGGCGCCATGTCTTTCGGATTGTCGTGGAACTAAGCTAAATAATAATAATAATAATAATAATAATAATAGTAAATGGATGCAAGCTTAGAGTTTTGGATCTATTTCAATTATTTCGAAAAAAAAAAAAAAAACATTTTTAATCTCTTATTTCCCTCTTTATAAATAAACTATATTTTTGCATATTTAAAATTTTATAGTATAATATTTATATATAAGTAATACTTGTTCGGTCTTGTGGAATTACTCTTATTATTTTTGACAGGCAATTCAAAAAAATATTGAATTAGAAGTTGATTAATTTACTTAATTGATATAATCTGTGTATAATAAAGTGTTGTTTTGATTATTTTTTTTATTGGATGAAATATTAAAAAAAAAATGGGATGTTAATTTATTTTTAATACTTTATCTATTAAACTAAATATTCAATCTACATTTTACATAAAATTTTCTTCAAAAATTCTCCTGAAAAGTTTTACCCTACAATAATTTTACTAATTTCCCTCTATACTTCATTTTCATCACATAGCTCAATATATTCCATTCACAACCAATAGCAATATGACTTGCTATCCATTTTTTTCCATTTACAGACCATGCAAAATTTGAACAAGATTTCAGCAATCGAAGATTAAACTACAAATAACAAGAAGAGTAAAGAAGACATATTCATCAGTAGGATCAAAGGGATCAGCCCAACTTTGGGAAAGTGACATACAAACAGCAGCAATAAGACATAGAAACATCGACAGTAGTATAAGTATTTGCATCATATTCATTTTAACTACTTCTCCAAGCCAACAAAACAACAGGAACACTCGAAAAATTTACTAAAATAGCAAAGTAGCAAAACGAGTAGAAACAAGAGGTAAGTAATAGCATAGTCGAAAAATCATAGCTCCTATCTTTATTCACTTATGATCATTGTTTTTTTTTTTTTTTCCATGTTTTGAATCTCGCTTCTCAACATCAAAATCAACTTGTTAAAGGGAAGAAATTAATATATTATCGTGTCAAGTAAAATTGCTATCGTGCAATTCCTACTACAATATTGAAATAATGGAAAACTAATACAAGGTCTAATGTTACCATAAATTGCTAAAGTCAATGGTCTGGTGATGAATTCAATGTGATGTGATTAGACTGCATACCAATGCTATAAAGCCTAGTCTAATACCTCCCAGTAGACAACTACGACTTTAATTTATTCTTGAATCAATTATTTAAAAAAGAATACATAAGGTATTGGAAATAAAAAGATACGACAAATAAAATTCATATTGATAAAAAATGATTTTACCTTACTCAAAGCACAAAAAAGTATTTAGTGCCAAGTGAGGCCAACCCAAATCAATCTTCATCCCAAATTAAGAAGTTTATCACGAATGTGATGCTTATGTGTGCAGTTAGTCAGCTTATCTTTAATATAGATAGTATTGTTATGTTTTTTCTATCTATGTTCCCATTTACACATATAGTTCCGGAGAAAAGATCCTACAGAAATAGGCTACATCAACACGATTGATTCTATCATTAGAAATGTAGATGTTAAGCATGTCTAATCAATCAGGTTACCAAAAAAAGAAAGAAAAAAAGAAATCCCGATTTTAGCCAAGCAGCTAGTAGTGATGGTTTCGAAATTTTGTTGATTAACCAACCTTTGAATTAAATCGATCTCAATGTTAATGACTTGGGATATTTTCGTGCAATCCAAAGTATTCAGATAGTGTCAAGATTACTACACCGTAGATGATCATGAACACAAGTTCCCCGACCTTTTCGGTTGTAAGCACTTACAAGTAAATCAACAAGTAATGCAAATTTATTGAAAACATGAGCATATATTTTAACATATATAACAGCATAAAGAGAGCCGTATACTTATCCAAGGTTATTACCACATGGGTAGCCATAGAAATATAGAATCATAAATTTCAAAGCAGTCTTGAAGATCCATTCAAGGAGAAAAATCCAAACCCTGTTTCATCCTACAAAAGCAGATGAACAGGACATCAAATCTTAGCTCAAGTTAAAGGCCAGCAGATGCCATACCAGAGCCACCACCAAGTTCTCCACTCCAGGCCACATATATGAGAAATCGAGAAAAGCAAATGGCATAGAATATACAAGCAAAACTGCAAGCCAAAGAGAGGACAAATCTCCTAGTTCGCTTCCAGCCAAGATCTGCTATGAGTGATGGATAAACTTGCAGGGAATGGAATCGCATGGAGCAATCGATTGGTCCTGCATAGTGATGACCAACTAGCAGTTACATCCTGTAAACTTGTAAGATACTGAAAACAACACTAGGGATTATGTGTGCAACATGATTGTCATTAATCTGCGAATGTGATGCATCTACTTTTTCACAGGATAATGAACTCATAAACTAGTGTAATGTATTAACAGTGATAGAAATCAGAACACTCTCGACAGGCAGAAGTCTGTTGTCTATATTATAACATTTGACACTTCTATTAGATCCATTAGCTAAACAAGAATGGTAAGCTGTATATCAAGTTGAGCTACCAGAAACATTATATTTAATATGGTGTAGACAAACTAATAGTCGTGTTCCATGTAGAATTATACTGCATAGGAATTATATATAATGCATAGCTTTAATATCCACTAGGAATTATATATAATGCATAGCTTTAATATCCACTCTCGTAGTCATATTTTTATGCACAGCCTGGTACTTTTTTCAATATGAGATCCCAAGTAACTATCAGCCATTCTGCAACGGGAGGTTACATCCACATTAACTGATGATGCAATCCCATTATCAGAAAATATCAAATAGCAAGAAAGAGTTCACGTTTAGACTGATAGACACCACTACACTAGGAAAAAATTGCCACAACCATATGCCCAACTAGATGCTTTGATGAGCATAGCATTTCGATCTAATCAGAGAGATGTGAACCACGTTGGACTTCCAAATATGGTTCATCTTGCGAGTCATATCCACCAAAGTTTAATGAGATTGCCTGGTAAACCAAAGTGGTTTTTGCACTTCTACTGTGTCAATTGAACAGTTACATCAGTTGGAGCAAAACCTCATCATCAGTTCACCAATGTCAGAGCTAAACATTGCCCTTGGTGAATGAGTCTTGTCCATCCATTGTAAATTTTCACCCTTAATATATGTTGAACAACACATAGAATATAATTTCTCCGCTTGTTAGTCCTCATCTTGCTTTCACTTAAGTATTTGTCAAACTATTCAAGTTAAACGTTCACAAGAATTCCTCAATTCATGATGAAAGGCTTTACAATAGTTGCCAATAAGCTTGTGCTGCTCAATGGCGCAAAACATCATGAAACAATGGTGTGTATCATTTAACAATGTGCATTGTAGAACTAAATACAAAATACACTATAATGCAATTGTAATTTTCACCAAAACGCAAAAAATAAGTGAAAATAAACAAAACAATGATGTTTAATCTTCATAAACAAAGAAAAAGTAGGTTTAACAAAGAACATTAATAAAAATCTTTGAACTTACATCAAATGTGTAATAATCTATTACTTTGAACTCTGAGGAAAGTAAAATAAGAAAAGGGAATATTGAAAGCTTATGTGAATATTTTGAGTACGCAAGTGGAAAATAAGGGAAATAAGCAAAAAGGTTGATAAGGATAAGAGAAAGTAACAAACAACGTTAACAGATAAGAAAGAAATGACACAAAAGGTAATGCAGTAGCATTCCTCTCATTTCTTACGTTTCTTGAAATACAGAAGAGATAATCAAGAATCACAGACCCACAAAACTCAGCACAGCCCAGAGCTGACTCATAAGAATAGGACTAAGCTAAGTCCTTAAGGTGCCTCGCCCCATAAGCATAAACAATGAAATTTAACACATAAAAATAGAAAACAGTTCAATGATGACCCTAACGGATGAGCCATCCCTCAAAATATATTCTCTTAGGTTCATACAACACTAACTTAGAAAAGGAAACATTTATTTCCCCGATCAGAGGGATATAAGGCTAACACTAATACTCACTACTTGATGCTATATCATGACAACACTAGGAAAGTATCAAATGAAGAGTAGTGAGATAAGGATAAATGATATAACAGTACTCTATGCTATATCATGACACCACTCAGAAAGATTTTGCTGAGTGCTCAATATATGTGGTCTTCTTGACTCTGAAAAACAAAACGAAAGCATCATCCAGAAACACCATGCAGCGATCATTTATATAACATACAATACAAATATGAATGCATGTGTCTCCACTCTCAAGTCTGCAATGTTAGACAACATAGATGTAACAATGTACTGAGACTTATTTAATCTCATTGCTAAAAAACATCAATTTCAACACCAAAATTATATCCTAAACAACACATTCAACCACCATTTTCCACACCAAAAATTTAAAATCCAAAAATACAAATAAAAGCACCCTCAATTTTCTATTACATACACACATCAGATCATTTTTCACACATAATATAGCTAACTAAATCAATGTCAATGCAGGTTGCATAAAACGAGAGCAAAAAGAAGAGAAACAGTCGGAGATTGATCATCATCAATCACAAAGCCATAAAATCATTTGGGCCAAAACACACAAGTCCGCAACACATACCAAAAACAAGAATAGCAAATCCAAGATAACAATCCAGCAGTAGATCTGAAAAGAGTTCTACCTCATATCCTAGTACACGAAGTATCAAAGTCATCAGGGGCAACCCTTGCAATCCATGTAGTGAGTGTCTTCTTTATATCCGCATGATTCACATAGGCCAACTCATACATACTGCACAGATTCACGACGATAGTCTCGTTCAATGCCATGGTCGGAATCCTCTCCAAAGCACTCTCCAACACCTTAATAGAATCAGACAAATCCCTTAAGTACATCAAACAAAGAGCCTTGTTATTAATGGCCACCACATCCGACCCATCCCTCTCTATACATTCCTCATACTCCCTCACAGCTGACACATAGTCTTTCTCAACCAGATACATCAATGCCTTATTTCTACTCATTAAATTCTTCATCGCCACATCTCCCGCTGCAAGTTTTTCCACCTCTGCAAAAGCTTGCTTTGCCCCATTCAGATCGCCGTATTGCATTTGCACGTATCCCAGTTTCGAAACCAGCAAAGGATCCTCGTTTTTGGTTATTTCAGCCTTCAACAACGACAAGCACACCCTAAACTCCTTTTGGCTCAAATGATAACTTAAAATCGTATTTACCACAAACGCCTCACGCTTCTTCCAGAGAGTGAGCGAAATATCGGTAGAATCTCGATTTGGAGTCAGTTTCTTATCCCGGATAAAATGGAGGAGAGCATAGAGGCGATCGAGGGATAATTGGCGGTCACCGAGGGTGAACGGTAAATAAGCGTGCAACCATCGGAGGGCAAAAGGGATCATAGATCCTGGTTTTTGATTGGGGTAATGATCCGAATACGATTCGAATAAATATTGGCTAGATTCGAGATCGTCGTCCAGAGATTGGAGCTCTTGCTGCGCCTCGGAGTAGCGGCGGAGCTTGACGAGGGCGAGGAGGTTAAAAGTGAGATAAATGAGATGCTCGTGAGGTTTAGAGAGAAGGGAGAGTGAGCGGGAACGCGCCACCTTGTCGACAATGGTCCGCCAGGCGCCGCGGCAGGCGAGGTCTTGAAGAGTTGAAATCTCGTGGCAATAGGAGTTGGGAGAGGTGTAGGGACTGGACAAGGGGTCATCATTGACGGCGGTGGTGGTCGAGAATGAGTTGGCTGGCGGAGGCGGAGATGGAGATGGAGATGGAGGTATAGGATCAACGTCAAGGTCAGGTTCAGGGATTTCCATGGCCGAAGAAAGGGAAATCGCCGATTGCCGTCGATGAGCTTCTTCTCTCCTCTAATATAGAAATTCTTTTCTGAATAGTTGGGGTTGGGCTGGCTGGCAGCCCAAATATAGTTTGGATTGGATGCTCATGGTTGACTCGGAGGACCATTTATTCATTCAATTGTGTTGCCACAACTCACTCCAATTTAGCAAATTTTTAAACTGCTGACAAAATTATACTAAAAAATATACTTCTTTTTACACATATTAATAAATAATTCTCCCTTCGTATAGAACTACAGTCTGAGTTGAATTTGACATGAAATTTAAAAAATATTTATATTATATTGGTAGTGAGTAAAAAATACGGATAAAAAACGTTTTGCCTTTGTAAGTGTATTAGTATAAAAAGTAGTGGCAATTGTGTAATAATAGTGAAAAAGTAAATGTAGTTTTACGGTGATATAGTTATTTATGGAAATGAGACTATTGTTTTGAGACAGATAAAAATGGTAAACAGGACTATTGTATTAGGACGGAGGGAGTAATATTTTTTATTAGTTACTGAAAGCGTGTAAAAAGTTTCTATATTTTTTGTCTTTGACTTTATACATAAAGTAATAGTATATGTAATAGTATATTTGTAATTTAAATAAAAGTTAAAAAGGAATAGGAAATAAATACTTTGAAATGAGATAGACGAAAATGATAAAAAAATAAATATTTTAAATTTGAACGGAGAGAGTATATATTATTCTTTATTTTATCTTGCTACAAAATATATCTTCTAAAGTCCTCATTTTTGTCTTCCGAACCCTGTCATGTTAACACGATGGTTGGTCTACACACTTACGGATGAAAGAAATAATAATTTTTACAAACATACGAGATAAACAAAAGACAAAAGGTATATGAAATATTTTATACAATTTTTTTCTTTTAAATGTTCACCTATGAATAGGGTGTCCCTCCATCTTGTATAATAAAGATCCAACCTCGTCAAATAAAAAATAAAAATAAAAATAAAGTACTGTATTTATTTAGTGTTTTTAATTTAGGTATTTCTTTAATGTTAAATATAAAAAATTATGTCGATAATATAAAAATTATTTTTTTTAATTGCGAAACTTGTGTCATATTGTTTGGGAACGAAAAAAAAAAACCTCCAAATTCGTCAAGGAAGTCATTGAAGTCAAACTGATAATCAAATTCATCTTCATAGAAATCAAATTTCCCCGAAATGTATGAAAGAAGACATCGATGCTAAATTCAAGACTAAATCCATTTTTGAAAAAATCAAATCACTCCAAATCATTTAAAAAAAAAAAAAAATGAACCAAAGATCAAATTCCTCTACTATAATTTTTAAAGAAGTCATCCAAATCAAATCAAAAATCAAATTAATTCGGAAAAAAGAAACAAATGATCATATTAGAGAAATGACTCAGTTCAATTCAATCTAATTTTTGTATCTACTATTATAATTTTATTATAGTTATGATATAATTTTTTTTCGTATATATAATTAATAAATTGCCGTTCATTGATTTGATTTTACCTTTAGAAATGCATGAGATTGGCAATAAATAAATAGACAAAAATTTGTTGTAAGTGATTTAAAATGTAAAAAGACAGAGACTTCCTCATCTATAATGTGGTACACTATTGTTAATTTTTTTTGTTGTGTTCGGAAGTTGGATATTTTATTTTGGGACGGTTTAAAAAAAATCATATGAAAATAGATATAAGAATTTTCTAAAATACTTCAGAAAATTTTTAAAATAAGGGTTGACCATTGCTTTCTTTTAAGCCAAATTCAATAATTTATATTCACTTTTATTTTTTTTAGGTGAAATAATTTTATTTTGTTTTCTATATAGAATACGATTTAGATTACCTTTTATTATATTTAGCGTATTTTTATCTTTACATTCAAGCTTTACGATTTATTATTCATTTATAGATTTACGGATAATCAACACATGCAGTATTAACATTATTATTTTATTCTTATTTCAATTATATTGCCTCGACTCATTAGTAGTACAATACCGCTTTAATATTTGGAAAATTTTTACCTCTTTTTCCAAAACTTTTATATAAATTTGTTGTCCTTTAGTCGTCGAGCCATTTAACTTGGCGATATAAAAGTTATTATAGATCCATAACAAGATTTTTTTTATGCGTTTTTCTTTTTCACACAAATAATAGCATTAATAAATTATCTATGTATAATTGAGCATTACACAATTGATCTTGCCGAATATATATATTGTTAGTGAATTTGTTTGTTTGTATTTGAGTTTGAATTTATTTAAATAAATTTTTGATATAATATTTTTTAAAACAAAAAATATTATATTTTTATTATAAACTATACGGATTGAATAATTTTTTTTTTAAAATGCAAACCAAACAGACTTATTATTTTATAACAATCAAAATATAATTCAAAGATAAATGTAAACTTCTTTGGTGGCCTAAGATCAATAAATTTTCTACACGGCGATGTTGGTCTTCTTTGATGTGTGTGTTTGTTTTTGTTATGAAATTTATTCTCGAATTATTTGTCTTGTAATACAAAATATATATATATATATATTTCTAATAGTTTGTTTATTATTTATAATTATTATTATAATTATTATATTGGATAAATTTGTTAATGCTTATTATGTTGTGAAAGAAAATTTCTAGTATTATATTTTTTGAAAAACTTGAGAAATTAAATAGTAGAATATAAATAATAATAATAATGATAAATAAACACGTTCCTATTTTTTTCTATAATGCATCATATTTAAGTAATTTTTTTTCCAAATATTGTATGCAATTTCCTTTAATTAAAATATAGAATCATCAATTTATTTTATATTTAAAATATTCAAAAATACATTCTTTTATTTAAAATGCGTCCGAAACATATATTTGATTCGATTTTTGTGTTTGTTTTGCGAAAAATTCAAACTTGTTTTTCAAAAAAAAATAATATATCATACACATTCATTATTTTTATATTATATATACAATTTGTTATATCTCACATAAAAAATATCACTTCAAAATATTTTACAAAACAAACACAACGTTCAATTGAATTCAATATTAAAAAAATATTCCTAAAAAATTTCAACCTTCCCGCATATATTGAGAATAAGTAACGAAAGTGAACACAATCGAAAAATAGATTTTTCCTACACTTTTGGTTTATTGTATTGGTCATTTCATTAATTACAAGATCTGGTTTTGTTCCTATATTTTGTCATTTAATTATTTTCAATTCTAAGGGCAATAAAATCTCAATGTTTGGTTTTTAAGAACTGGTTAATTATTGCTCATAGATTATTTCAAAATCATGTTTGGCATGATAAAATGACTTGTTATAATTTTTTGTGAGATGGTTCATAAATCTTGAATCATTACAACTATTTTTTGTATTTTACAAATTATTCCAAACACAGTCAAATTCATAGATTTGTCAATAATTGTTTTCTCTTAAACGCTTGTTTAATTTTTGGATTCTCATTAAGTCGGTAATCAATGTAGGATCTTATATTTTTTTTTTTTCGAACGAATATCTACGCGATCACAAGTTGAGTTCATGTCAATTAATATGACAAGGTTTTCAAGATTATAAATAGGCTATTTACCAACCATCAAATCATTCAAACACTCATACAATATCTACATAGTACAATGGGTAGGAAAATCGATATAAAAAAGATAGAAGATGTTACGAAATGTCAAGTGACATTTTCGAAGCGACGGAGTAGTCTTATCAAAAAGGCTAATGAAATCGCAATTTGTTGTGATGTGGATGTAGCATTTGTTGCATTCTCACCTTCTGGTCGAATTAGCAAATTTTGCAATCAAAGAAGGTAATACGATACTTTTAAAAATAAATAAACAAAATCATTAAATTTGGATATACGTTGTCAATCTTATTTTAAATTACATAATAACAGATTTATTGAATTTTCGAATCTTGTTACCTTTGTAGGATTGAAGATGTGCTTCATCGATACATCAATCTACCTCTAGAGAGTAGATTAGGGTAAATTCATTCATCTCTTGTCATTAAAATCATTCATCCACAAGATCAATCTTATAGTATTAATTTGATTTATTTTTGCGGATTTTGATCTTGATTTATATTTATTACGGCGGATATGATGCAGTCACATAGAGAATCTTCAGGTATGTTAATCATTGTGTATTGTTTCATGTGACTTAGGCTAGATTGCAATAATTTTTGCATCTAAGTATGTGTGTGTGAGTGCATATACTAACATAAGAAAACTATTTTGCTTTGTTTTTTTTCGCTTATATTTGTGCATGAAGAGCAAGACGGAGAAGTTGCGGGCTCTTGATCACATGATTAGCGATACAAGCAAATTACAATATCTAAGCAAGCAGTATTTCGCTCTCTCTCTCTATATATATATATATATATATATATTGTCTCGCATATCTCTTTTTATTTCGATTTTAAGTTTATTTATATTTAATACATTAGTATCATATTATTGATATATAAATTCGATATGCAAAAATTGGTATGATACATTTGTTATTGATTTCCTCTTTAAAAATTAGCGAAATAAACATTAATTTGAAAAGTAATAAAGCCTGAGACACGTATATTATATAGAAAGATTAGTTTTGACTCTTTTAAGATAATATAGAAAATAAAAATAAAATTTTTTGTAATATTAAACGTGAGGGACTTTTTAATCAATATATGTTAATAATAATAATAATAACATATATATATATATGATGTTTACTTCATGTATAAATAATGATCTTTTTTTTTTTTCACTAAATCTAATATACCAAAGATTCATGTAAATCACTTTGATAAACTAAAGTTTGAATGTAACTTGATAGTATAACAAGTAAATAAATAAAATCCCATTTCAACTCTAATATAATGTAATGTACTTTGAATTGTGATTTTTTATATATTTTTTTTCAGTGAATGATAGTTTCATGTAAATAACTTGATAAACATAAATTTGAATGTAACTTGATGATATAGCTAAAAAATAATCCAATATAACTTTAACATAATGAATCATTGAATTGTACT